ACTACTCTAGTGCAGTATAAGATCAGAGTACTTCTTCACTGTAGTATTACTACTCTAGTGCAGTAACAGACTGAATGGAGACCAAACATTTAGAAAAAGATTTATTTATTTCATCAGAACTCTTTTAAACAGTTTGTTGTGTTCAGGGAACTCTGTGAACAGGACGTTTGAGTGTTTAATTATTGGATGAGCTCGACCAATAGAAACGCTCCGTCTCCTTCAGGACACCACGTGCTCCAGGACGCCCTGACGAATCAGCTGCTCACATTTCCACCGAGGCAGGAAGTGCTGCAGACAGGCAGACGTTAAGGTGACACAATATTATCATTATTAATATTATTAATTATGATAAATAATAACCTGTTATTAATAATAATAAATAACCTGACTGTTATTATTATTATTAATATTATTATTAATAAATAGTATTATTATTAATACATAGTAACCTGACTGTTCTTCTTCAGCAGGATCACGGTTCCGTCGTCGATCTCAAACTCTCCGTGGTCCTTTAAACACCTCACCTGGAAAACACCTGATGTCAGCGTCATGTGACCACAGGTACTTAAACACATAGTATATACAAGTACACACTGCAAATACTAGTACATGTGTACACAGAATCACTATTTACAGGAGAAGAAAATAAAATGATGAAAAGATAAAATACGTTGACGTCAACATTCAGTTTGTTTGCAGGAAAAATGAAAAGATTCTTTAAATTATATTTAAACATGAAATCAACATTAAGTGATTATTTTTGTAAATAAATATAAATTACATTTGTTGACTGCATTGTGAAAACACTTAATCTAAAATAGATCATATTTAATATCTAATCTTCTGTTAAATAAACAGAAACATTCAAACGTTTTATTCAAAGTAACATAACTTATTTATAAACGATGTTTCAAATGTTTAAAACTGAATTATTGTTATTTTCAGACGGATTCGATATTAGAGTGTTTAAATGAAATGTGTTCTTATTGTTGTTATTAACAGTATAAACTATTTTAAAATAAAAACATGAATCTCCAGAGAGAGCTTGTTCCTACATTTCCCATCACGCACCCTGCCAGATGTGTGTGGTCTCACCTCGATGTAGAGGCTCTTTGGGGGCTTCATGTCCTGAGTGAGGTCCAGACCCTCGCCCCCCCCCAGAGACCGCATGAAGGAGGCCAGAGACTTCTTGTACTGACTGAACCACTGCACCTGCACAGGTAGGCCAGAGGTATTGATCACTGTATCATCAGTGATCGATACAGGAAGTGATCGATACAGGAAGTGATGTCACACTCACCTCCTCTGCACACATGTGGAAGCGGACGTTAGCCGGCAGAACGCTGCCGTACTCCCAACGGAGAGACCGGATCCTCAGGAGACGGTCATAGCTGAGAGAGGGAGGAGTCACATGGTCACAGGGGAGGAGTGTGTGTGTGAGGAGCGAGTAGAGAGGAGAAGAGCGAGTAGAGAGGAGCGAGCAGAGAGAGGAGCGAGTAGAGAGAGAGAGGAGCGAGTAGAGAGGAGAGGAGTGACGAGAGAGAAGAGGAGTGACGAGAGAGAAGAGGAGCGAGTAGAGAGCAAGAAGAGAGGAGCGAGTAGAGAGAGGAGAGAGTAGAGATAGAGGAGCGAGTAGAGAGCGAGGAGAGAGTAGAGTACGAGGAGCGAGCAGAGAGTGAGGAGAGAGGAGCGAGAGAGGAGGGAGTAGAGATAGAGGAGCGAGGAGAGAGCGAGAGAGAGGAGGGAGTAGAGAGGAGCGAGTAGAGAGGGGAGAGAGAGAGAGGAGCGAGAGAGGAGAGGCGGGAGAAGAGAGGAGCGAGGAGAGAGAGAGGAGCGAGGAGAGAGAGAGAGGAGCAAGTAGAGAGAAGAGGAGCGAGTAGAGAGCAAGGAGAGAGGAGCGAGTAGAGAGGAGAGTAGAGAGGAGGGAGTAGAGAGAGAGGAGCGAGTAGAGASAGGAGCGAGTAGAGAGAGAGGAGCGAGTAGAGAGGAGCGAGTAGAGAGAGAGGAGCGAGTAGGGAGGAGAGGAGCGAGGAGAGAGGAGAGGAGCGAGGAGAGAGAGAGGAGCGAGGAGAGAGGAGAGGAGTGAGTAGAGAGCAAGGAGAGAGTAGAGAGAGGAGGGAGTAGAGAGGAGAGGAGCAAGAAGAGAGGAGCGAGTAGAGAGGGGAGAGAGAGAGGAGCAAGTAGAGAGAGGAGAGGCAGGAGTAGAGAGGAGAGGAGCGAGGAGAGAGAGGAGCGAGGAGAGAGAAGAGGAGCGAGTAGAGAGGAGAGGAGCGAGTAGAGAGAGAGGAGCGAGTAGAGAGAGAGGAGCGAGTAGAGAGAGGAGCGAGTAGAGAGGAGAGGAGCAAGTAGAGAGCAAGGAGAGAGGAGCGAGTAGAGAGCAAGGAGAGAGGAGCGAGTAGAGAGCGAGGAGCGAGTAGAGAGCGAGGAGAGAGGAGCGAGAGAGAGGAGCGAGGAGAGAGAGAGGAGGAAATGACAAATAACAGACTTGGGCTGTACCCTGTGTGTGGAGGTCACATGATGCACAGGTGTTACAGGTGTGTGTGTGTGTGTGTGTGTTACCAGTAGGCGGTCACACAGCGTTGGTTCCTCAACAAACAACAGTGTCGTAGTTTGATTGAAGGAATGAGATCAGCTCGACCTTCAAATTTCGCCTCGTTACTGGAACACAATTATTAATAATATGTTATTAATAATATTATTATGTTCACCTTCAACCTAAAACACTAATGAAAGTATTAACATTAAAGTGCACTCACACATCCGTCTGGTTCTGTTCATAAAGAGCTTCCATCTCCTGCAGAACCTGTCGGAGTCCATCCTCCTGAGAACACGAGAGAACGTTCACACTCCGTCACACTCTGACCATTCAACAGTTAGATCCTTATTGCGTAATACGTGGACGTGGGTTTGATGGTTCAGCACCAGACAGCGTTGAATATTAAATATTCTCTCTGTTTACGTTGTTTTATAGCCTTCTCGTGGGGTGACTGAGCCCTTCAAACTAGTCTGGACGGATCTTGTTAGTGAGCTGAAATGCTCCGACAATGGTTACGAATATATATATATACACACATATATATATATATATACACACATATACACACATATATATACACATATACACACATATATATATACATATATATATACATATATATATATATATATATATACATATATATACATATATATATATACATATATATACATATACATATACATATACATATACATATACATATACATATACATATATACATATACATATATACATATACATATATACATATACATATATACATA